AAAAATACTGAACGATTCACGAAACTTTTTACAAATCCAGAAAATCCAGAGGCACATTATTAGCTCTCTTAAGGATTTTTTAGTGTCACTTTTATTTCTAACTCATTTCTTTGTGTTGATGTAGTTGCTGTTGTCACTGTTGTTGTTTCTTTGAGGTCGTTGTTGTTGTTGTTGCTGTAATGTTGAAATAATTTAAAATTTTATAAAAAAATTATGCGAAAATTACATAAAACTAACTTATCATTCCTTCAACTACCGGTTCATTTATTCATTCATTCATTTATTCATTCATTTGTTCGTTCATACGTTCGTTCATTCGTTCATTCGTTCATTCATTCATATTTCAATTCATTTAACTAATTCATTTTTAATTTATATTTTCACGAGTCAGTGTACAACTTATAAAGAATATTTCAACCTATTTAGATATGGTGCTTTTAATGCAAATCGTTTTCATATAAGCAATGTACACTATTTAATATTTGTCTGTCTAGTGAAGCAAACAACAACACATTTTTAAGCAAAACACAGTCACGATTACAATAAATTGATTTTTAACTTTTTTTACTACTGTAACAATGTTGTTGCTCCTCTCTCACGCTCTTTTTCTCTCTCGCTCTCTTTCTCTCTCTCTCTCTCTTTCTCTCTCTCTCTCTCTCTCTCTCTCTCTCTTTCTCTTTAATTCTCTCTATCTTGATCAGAACTGTTTTTAGTGTTGCAATTTTTGCCTCCACTTTCTTTCTCTTCTTTTCCTCCCCCCTATCTCGTTTTTCTTTCTCTCTCTCTCTTTCTTACTCTCCCGATTTTATAACTGCCTGAATGATCATCAGATTTACAGTGAGCAGAGCAAACAAGGGAAAAGTTTTTAAGGTAAGTACATTGAGGACTCAAGTACACTGAAGTACATTTTTCAGTCAGGAATGTAGTTAGAATTAGTACATAGATACAAAAATAACTTTTATTTATATTTATTCAATTATTGTATACGTATATATGTGTATGTGTGTGTGTGCGTGTGTGCGTGTGTGTGTGCGTGCGTGTGTGTGTGTGTGTGTGTGTGTGTGTGTGTGTGTGTGTGTGTGTGTGTGTGTGTAATGAAATGATGCTTATAAGCACACTTTTTCATCGTAGCACAGCTAGGAGTGTTATTAGCCGTGACGAGACGAGACGAAATAATGACTTTTATTGCCTATATAACAACTGCCACTGCTGCTCTTAAATCCACACTTAACATGTCAATAAAAATTATTTATAACCAGAGAACGAGGGAAATAATAAGAAAAATTTTGTATTTAGTACAAAAATTGTAAGACTGATAATAATTAATACTTATGCCAGGAGTAGTATTTAATACTATTAGTATTATTTATCATAATTCTTAAATAATTAAGTAATCCATATTCGTCGAAATCCAGAAAAAATGTTCAGCTTTTCATATATCTTCTTCCACATAACATTAAACTACACTCCAACAAAATTATTAAATAAATATCTGTTAAATTTTATATTAAATTTCCTGATAATTTTCAGCAATTTTTAGTTAACTTTTATGTTAATTTTATGTTAATTTTTTATTATATTCTGAATTCATTGAAAAGGTCAATATTTGTTGGCTACCGAGTTGACCTAGACAGTTAAATTGCCATATTTTGCTCTGCATAGCTGTCACGTTCAAAAACTGACTCACAAACTTAAAAACTACCGTTCGCCTTGTTGCGGTATTTTGTATACGTAGGTATTGTATCAAAAGTGTACAATAAAATGAACTACAAAGCTTATTTTCTTCATATGATATCCGAAGAAATTTTTTTTTAAGAATAATGATGAAAATATTAAAGTTTAGCACGGGTTTTTTTACTACTACTACTGCAACTGCTACTATTGCTATTATTACTACCACTACTGCTACTACAACTACTACTACAACTACTACTACAACTACTGCTATTACTACTACTAGTACCGCTAAAACTATTACTCTTATTTCAATTTCTTCCTCCTATCATCATTTCAGATGTTATGGCCTATTTACTCACCATCATTTTAATTGTGCTTTTTACATTAGCTTGCTAACGTAGCCTACTACTACTGCAACTACTGCTACTGTAGCTACTACTGCTGCTACTTCTACTGCTACTACAGCTGCTACTTCTACTACTACTACAGCTACCACTACTGCTGCTACTACTACTGATCCTGCAACATACATAATAATCTACTAAAATTTATATTGTAATTGAATTTTCTAATTTAATTAAACTTAGTTGCAAATGATGTAGCAAATATTACTTTAACCTAGCCGGTACTAGCAGTAACGTAACAAAAATTACTTAAATGAAGCAGAGTTTTTTATAGATCAGAGGCCATGCATAACGTGACGTACTGAGAACTCGTTAACTAGCAATCTCTTCATACAAATCACACCGGGATAAAATTGCGATTTCACACGAACAATCGTGTATTGGATATATATCAAGAATACCTTCTTCTAAGACTCCATGGATATATAGTATATGTATTTCTAGTTATATAGAAAGAGATAGAAAAGAGAGAAAGAGAGAGCGAGAGAGGGAGAGAGATAGAGAGAATATAAACATGTATATTTATATATAAATTACGTGTTTGTGTGTGTGTGTGTTTGTGTGTGTGTGTGTGAGTGTGTGTGTGTGTAGCTGTGTGACTGGAATGTATTTATCACGAATCTCAAACCCAATAAAACATTCATACGCAATGCAATAAATTTTTTCTTTTTATTTTATTTTATTTTTTTGAGGTAAGGAGCAACTATAAAAAAGGACCTATAAAAAACACCTAAGAAAAGATTAAATAAGATTAATAATAATGATAATAATGATAATAATAATAATAATAATAATAATAATAATAATAATAATAATAATAATAATAATAATAATGGGAACATTCTTTTATTTTCTAACTCCAAATACCAAATATTAATAATGAAATAATTATAAAATCCTATTTAATCTAAAATGCTCGTCACTGCAAGTGAGTTTAATTGTTCAATTGGGATTCAATCATTTTTTTTATCTGGCGTTATCAATCAAATTTTATTTAAATTTTATAATAATAATAATATTAAAGTAAGATGTCATAAACGCAAATACAAATAAAAATACGCTGCTATTATTTTAAAATGCATTTTATATTCATTTAATCACGGAATCATTTCATGCTTACGGGGCAGAGAAAAATTTCAACCGTAAAAATTATTCGAGCGTAAAAATTTATGTCTACAATTTTTATATGATAAAACGTGCCTATCTTAATGTACACCTAAAGTTTGCCAAACACATACACAAATACAAACACGAACACACGCGCACACACACACACACACTTACATGTTTGTACACGCACATACGCACACAGACATCTTTTCTAAATAAGCAAATAGACTGCCAACTGCGAATGAATATATTCAAACTTATAACAACTGAGTCACGTTCGCACTCAGAAGCACTTCTAAATCCCTTAATTAACATGAAAACAAAATTTTTAAAAAATATAAAAAAATATAAAAAAAAACCTTGCAAAAATATTTGAAAAAACATATTTATATACATAAACTTTAACAAATGCAAGTTAGAAAATTAAAAAATTACGTTTATAGGGATAAATTTTTAATGAGAACAACGTTTATGCTATTCCAATCGTTTTATCGACGCTGTTGTCATGGCGAAACGCAGAGTTGATCTCCATGTTGTTGTTGTTATTGTTGTCGTTGTTGTTGAAATAACGGTGATGTTTAAGATGATGTTGTTTAATGATGATATATTTTTGTTGTTTTTGACCTCTGATAACGGTTTAACAATCAACAGTTTAACAATCTATACAGTTTTTATCCTAGTTTTGTTACTGGAGGTTGTTGTTTGCTGAGTTGTAACTCAATATGTCGTTTGGTTTATTTTTCTGTCATGTGAGTGCACAACCAAACAAAGAACGAACGAACAAACGAACAAACGAACGAACGAACATACAAACGAAAAAACAAATAAACAAACGAACAAACAAACAAACGAACAACTAGACAAACGAACGTCAACAAATGCATCGATAAACAAATGTCGATGTTTTCACGTACAAATACCATCATCTACCCAAAAATATATACACACGTACACACTTCTCTATACAGACTCACACATATACATACATACTTACACAAACATTAACACACATTCACATAAAAACACACAAATTGATAAAGTTTTGCGTCACATAGAGACAAATTACTATAAATACACGCACACGTACATACACACATACATCTCTATATAGTTACATATACACACATATCCATACACACATACAAACAAACACACACACTTACACATATACATTTGAATATTAGGCAGGCCTGCAACGTTACAATGTTCATTCTTGTGTATTATTATTATCAGTTTGGCACATTGAAGTCTGTTACACGTGTTACAAATCACTAATCCCTCCATTAATCATCATCGATAAATTTTTTGCGACTCATAAATTTTTTCCTCATTTTTCAGACTACGCTCACGGTGATTGTTGTTGGTGCTGCCGTTTGTGGCTGTGGTGGTCATCTTTTGGTTTACTCTTTCTTAATGCTCTAATCATTAACTCATTCACCGATCATATCATTTGATCTTTTATTCATTCATTCGTTCGTTCGTTCTTTCGTTCGTTCTTTCGTTCGTTCGTTCGTTCGTTCTTTCGTTCGTTCGTAATAACAAAATTTTGGAAAGTTTTTGTATTGGTAAAAAAACATTTGTAAAACTGTTAGAATAATAAAAGTGTTGAAATACTTTGTAGTTGTAGCAGCATTGAAGAACGGAATTTCAAAAAATGCAAGTGTACACATGAGTTTCAGTTACTAAAATCACCTTGAAAATGTTTATTTATTCACTGTCAACATTAATTCCGCTTCAAAAAAGTATCTCCGTTTTGGACTGTGTAAACATTGTTTTTTTTTCCTTAGCGATAATGAATCGGTGTAAAAAATGCATGCAAATATAGACAGACGCGCAAATGTGTGTGCCTTAAAAACAGAATGTGGCAAAACAGCTAAAAAAACACATCGCCATGTTGGCATGGTCATCTCGACAAATATTGTTGTTACCGTTCGGTCAGTATTGCAAATTCATACTTTTACGAATTCATCATTTTAAGTCCTAACCAGTTTGTTCTTTGTGTTTATTTTTGTTCATCCGTTCATGTATTTGTTGTTAGTTTTACTTATTTGTCAATATTTATTGGCTATATAGTTTTAGTTATTTCTACGGAAATAATATGGACATAAAAAGACAAAAAAACATACACGCTATGCACAAACACTAACATAATCACATAGACACACGCCTACACACACACAAAACACACAAACATACACACACACACACACACACACATAATTGTTATTGACATAATTCGAATTCAAATATATCATTATATATATATATATATATATATATATATATATATATATATATTTATGTATATACGTCGAAGAATGATGTGTTATTATCAGCTCATGTCATCTATCATACAATGAGGAAGAACTAAGTTTGTGCTCATGCATCTGCTTATGTGTGCAAGTATTTGCTTGCGTATGTGCGTGTATGTGTGTGGGAGAGTTTGTATTAGTTTGGCATGTATTTGCGTAGTTTTATATTTGGATGTATATTACAAATTTTTTTATTCCGTTGTTTCATATGAAGATACAAAGCGTTTAACTTGCATTCCTGGCTTTTAAACATCGCGAGTATATAAACAGAGTTGAGTGGTTGATATTGATACATGGTTGATTGAATGATACACGGTATTTGATATATAATTGATTGATTGACCCATTTTTGAATGATTGATATATGAGTGATTGATACATGATTGAATGATACATGATTGATTGATACACGATTGAATGTTTGATTGATTTACGTATGATTGATTGACGTCTGACTGATTGATTGAATAAGTGGTTGATTGATTTAAGAATTTTTTTCTTAAAAATTTCACAACCCAAAAAATCGCGACTCCACATTTTTAATTATTCACACAAAACGTCATACTTTTTCTTAAATGATGACGTCATTGACGCCATCTTGTTCTGATCAATCATTCATTTTTTGGCACCTTCTTTCTTTCGACTTGTCTGCCAGTCGGGAAGGATCTGTTTGTTACATTTCTTGTAGTAACAGCAGTAGAAGTAGTAATAGTAGTAGCAGTAGAAGTAGTTGTAGTCGTTGTTGTTAAACATGTTATGATATATACATGATAGACATATCTATGCATATTCTTATTGTCATTGAAATGTAATTTAGGTTGCTATTAGTTTGAGAGATACTTTGTATCAGTTGAATGTATCATACGTATCAATATGTATCATCAGTATGTACCGGCAGATGGCTTCATTAAAACTTTGGGATGTTATCAGCGTTGAGATCGTCGGCGCTTAGTGACATCACCGCAAGCATTTCATTGCCATCTTAAATAAGTTTTACTTTTCATTTGGAATCGTTATTGGTATCGTTATTAGTATCGTTATTGTTATTATCATCGTTATCGTTTCGGTATCCTTATTATCATCTTTCTTGTTTTAATGGCAAACGGATTTTCATCACCAACCGTTTTACGGTAATCATACTAACTTCAGAGTCACCCTCATATCATCATCATCATTATCATCATCTAGACATCATCATCATCATGTTGTCATCATCATAATCTTCACCATGACAACATCATCATCGTCATTCTGACATCATCACTATCGTCATCACCATGACAATCGTCATCATCGTCGTCATCATTGTAGGGTCATCATTAGTTGTTATGTTTCGTTTATATTGTAATTACGCAATGACGGGTCTTTTTTTATTTCGCCATAAAATTCTCTTACGTTTATTTTTATTTATTTTTTCTTTTTATTTTTGTTATAATTTTTATCGTTAGTAAAATAGTTTTGTCGGTAATATTATTACGATAATTCGTCTCATTACATGATAATTCATTATTATCTTTTGCAGTTCTCCACAATTCATTACCACAATTCATCACATTTCATAGCCACAATTCATCCAAATTTACAAAAAATTATCCCAATTCACCACAATTTATCCCAATTCATCCCAATTCACCACAATTCATCCCAATTCGCACACCCACCGACAAAACCAACTGCAGTCGCATCCAGTTGCTTCCAAAGTTCAGAGAGTACGACCTAGACAACAACGGTTATATCAGTTTGGACGAGGCAGGTACCATACTCCGAGGGCCTCCCTTCAACTTTCCCAACGACAAAATTTATCTCCTTCTCAGAAGTTTCGACAGAGATGGAAATGGAAATTTGGATATTGAAGAGTTTGCTGGGTTCTACGCCGAAGCGAAAGCATTGTTGGTATTTGTTGGGGGTTTGAAGATGGTGTTGTATTTGATGTCTTGTAAGTTTCTGTCTTGATTGTAACTACTTTTAATATTCAAACGTATTTTTAATGAATAAAACAAAACAAGTTTCTTTAAAAAAATTTGAACACGTATGGCGAATGACTCAAGAGGGCAAAAAACAAGAAATAACTTTTTTTAAATTTTCTATCGAAATGCTCCAGGACCTTACACTCAACTAACAAACATTCATCACCGCATCACTGATGCAATCTCAAAATTTGATGTCATTCTTCTTCCTTTCATAAGAAAATTTTTTCAAAAAAAGTTGAGAAAAATCCTTTAAAAAAAAAAGTTATCATGAAAAAGAAATAAGTGAGGTCAAAAATTCCATCACTGAACCATTGCGTCGTTAAGATAACTTTTATTTCAGATTCGCTTTTTAAAGCTCTCTCAAAAAACTTACACCATGAACTGTCTTACTAAAGTTATTTTTACTATACAATTTTTATACGTGAATAGCTCTTAAAAATAATAAAACTATAAAAAAATATTCGAATATAAATAACATAAAAATATTCATAAATAAATAAATAATAATTTAACAAGCTAACCATGTTTTCTTTGATAAGATCAGATAAAAAAATTTACCAAAAACTTTTAGCGTATTAACCGGTAAACAGGACTTTTGGGTTTGTGGAAATTTTTTTAGATTATAAAAAAAGTTGAAGATAAGATAAAGAGAATCTGAAGAGAATGATAAAATATGCACCACGTCATTCATCTGAAAACATTCAATCGTTACTTAAGACACTTCAAGTTCCATGGATGCTGTTTAACATTTCCTGTCATCCTTTTATGAAACGTGATTTTGAACAGGCTACATACGTAAAGCTGATAGCTATGTGATGTGATAACATATGATAACAAATATAACGGCTGATGACGACAATGGTGGGTATTTCAAGGCAATGACTTAAATGACGATGAAGTATGACGATATGATAGTTAAACGAAGCAGATATAAAAATGAAATGTACGACGACAAGTTTAATCAGAGCTTACGATAAACTTCTCTTAAGCCAGGAAGATGAAGTGATTACTCGACGATGATCACCACAGAAATGGAGCAGATGAGTAGAGAAATGATTAGACAAATTAAACATATGACTCGTCAAATGATATGTTCCAACTTGCATAAAAAACTGCCTTTATATCGCAAAAATAGCAAAGTACAAATTTTACATTTTCATTCTGGAATCTGTATGCGATCTGAATGTAGTTAGTCGATTTACGAAAATTATTTGTCCCATGTAAGAACATCTAGAAAAATTAACCATATTCATTATTTTTGTGTGTGAATGTGTGTGGTGTGCGTGAGAGTGTTTGTGTGTGTGTTTGTGTGTGTGTGCGTGAGAGTGTATGTGTGTTTGTGCGTGTGTGCGTAAGAGTGTTTGTGTGTGCGGCCTTACATGAGTGAAAAAGAACGTCCCATTTTTTAATTGTTATTCATACACATTTACGTCATCCTAGAAATCGGTGAAGGTCGAATGATCACTCACGTGACCACCTGCATTGATCACGTGCCTTCCGTGGAAATGACGTCAGCATGAGAATTTATAGTTTCAATAAATGGAATAAATTTATTCAGAGTTAATTCTATTCCGGGGACTATATTGATGGATCGGGAATGGGATTTACTGACGTAAGCCAGAACATCGGTCTGCTTGCATACAAATATTTTCAATATGCGACGCGTTTCACATTTGCATGTGCGTCAGCGTTTGTCTGAATGTGTGTAAATGTGTCAGTAAGTGTGTCAATAGTGTGTGTAAAAGAGAGAGAAACAGTAAGAAAGAGAGAGAAGCAGAGAGAGGGAAAAAGAAAAGAAGGGGAGAGAGAAATATTTAGACAATTATGAATCATCCTTAAACAAAATAACGAACTACTACTACCTTCTTACTAAACATGAATTAATAATTGTAATAATTGATATCTATATCAACAAAATAATGAAAACATTTTTTTGTAGAAAAGAAGACATAAGCGAATCATTCGACAGACTGGACAAAGACGGAAACGGAGTGCTGAGTCCGGACGAAGTTGCATGCATCATCCAGGATAAATTGGGATTTGATAAGAATTCTGCGAAACAGTTGATTGAGATGTTTGACCAAAACAAAGATGGCTGTTTGGACAAGATGGAATTCATCAACCTCTGGACAAGCATGTTTGGAGAATAAAAAGAAATTTCATTAGGTTTAAAAAAACAATTAACTAATTAATCAATTAATATATCATTTTCCAATTGATTAGTCAATTAATTAATTACTTGTTTGTTTAACCTGCTAAATTTCTACGTAACCGTTTTGTTGTTTGATGCGACCAAATTAAACCATTCCTTTCGTCTAGTCATTTTTGCGTGCGTTTTAAACATTTTTTCTATTATAATATGTAAAACAATAACAACAATAATTATTATACAATTAATTATCAACTGTATTTATTTAAGCTATTTATAAAAATGTCGGCTTAATTATTAATTTTAATACAAATGGTCATTAGAGTTTAATAAAATAAACGTATATAAGCTATCTCACCCACTCATTCTTTCTCTCTCTTTCTTTCTCTCTCTCTCTCTCTCTCTCTCTCTATATATATATATATATATATATATTCTCTCTCTCTTTCTCTCTCTATCTTTCTCTCTCTCTCTCTCTCTCTCTCTCTCTCTATATATATATATATATATATATATATATATAAATATATATTATTCGTATTTTTTTATAACTTTATGTTCTTTAATTTGTACAAAGCATTGCGACTTGCTTGCATTTTGACATTTTCAATTTCATTTCTTAGATGGCAAGCTCCAACGTTGTTTCAAGCACCTGGCCCAGCAAGCGATAAGTGTGTAGAACGAAAAAAAAAATTTGTCTATTTAATTTGCTTTGTTTTATTGAAGATTGGATTTTCTTTTATTGAAAAAAAATCATTCCTTGATTATGAAATAAATTGTACTTAGTCACTTGTAAACCAATTCATATATCAATAATAATATTTGTTATTAATTAACTTAAATCAATAAAACTGTAATATATTTAATTGTCATTTAACTTAACTTTTGATCGATTTTTTATTTATACAAAATATGATCATTATTAATACAAAAAACACAAAAATATACATAAACATGTAGTATATATTTATATTAACATATATATATATATATATATATATATATATACATATATGCGTTAATAAGTCTGTGTGAGTTTGTGTGTGTTTGTGTGTGTGTGTGTGTGCGTGCGTTTCCACCTGTCTGTGTGAGTGTGTATGTGTATTTATTTAACTTAATGCACATTTAAAACTGTTGAATTTTTTCTCTAACGCTGATATTCAGAAAAATAAAACAATAGATAAAATATATACAACGATATATCATATATTATATACCTAGTAATGCTTTCATAGTTTTAGGAGGTGTAGATCAATTTACAAACAAATAAGTCACTAGTGAACATCAGTTTTTAATAAGTACATAAATGTAGTTTTAGTATGATAGTAACAAAAAATTAAAAACACTTTTTGTAAAAATTAAATACAGTAGGTCCCAGCAGAACCGACCAATCACAGAACGGATTTTCTCAGAACGGACCGCGATTTCGGGGGAAAACATACCGGAGTTCGTAGTGCACGGAATCGCGCGAAGAATCGAACATGCAGTCTGCTGCTGGGAGAGGGGGGTTTTCACCTTTTTTCCTTTGATGTTGCTACCTTTTAGTGTTTTCCAGCGTTTTAACCTTTTCCTTTAAATCTTCAACTGGTTTTTTCACAAAATTTTTACGCGGTTTCCGAGTTTAAAAAAATGGGCCTGCAAACCAGAAAATCGATTTTTCTTGAGATCCCCAAAAGAAATCATCTGAAAATTTGAGAGAGGCGTCCGCCAAAAATGTCTCGCCGCGGAGACATTTTGATGAAGACGATGGTTTGATGAAGACGACGGAGAACACCATCATCTCGCAACAGGAGAAGATCAAGTCGACGGAAGGTGGAAAAGGCATGATGAAGAGCTGCATGGACGAATGCTTGCCTACTTGTTACTAAGTGTTTCTGAAAGGTGAAAAAAGACACACTTGTTTTTCTGATTTTTTGACCATTTTTTCGATTTTTTGGTTCGGCGTGGAACCAATTATTTTGATGTACATAGAATTGTGTGGGAATTCGTGTTTTGCAGAACGGACTTTTCGCATAACGGACTTCCGGAGGAACGGATTAAGTCCGCTGTGCGGGGACCCACTGTAATAATGATACATTTATAGACATGTGTATGTGTGTGTGTGTGTGTGTGTGTGTGTGTGTAGTATGTGAGTATGTGTGTGTGTGTGTGTGTGTGTGTGTGTGTGTGTGTCTTAAATAAAACGATGATAACAAAGCTAATAATAATAATAATAATGATGATGTCCAAGCTTTAATAAATAATAGAAAGAAAACACATAACACAAAACAATAGAATGAACCTAAAATTAAATTTAAATAACAAAAATGAAATAATTTTTAATAAAATAAAATTCATTAAAAAAAATTAAACTGAATTTTCTCTAAAAATGAAACAAAAATAATATAAAATAGAATTTACCTTTTGTTCAAAAAACAGTAAATGTTTACCAATCTTGGAAGCAGTTTTAGTTCATAGTATCTTGACTTAATGGTTTATTCGTAATTTAATAATAACTAATCTCAATAACAAATTTCACAATGGAGTTCATTCTTAATTAAATGGATAATTAATTTCACAGCTGGGTTTATTCATAGTAAAAATGGTAACAAATAATAATTAATCAGATTGTTGAATCACGTGACAATTTTTCTATTACGTTTCAAAATTTACATACGATTACGTAAGATTACAATTACACGTAGACTGTCGTCAGCTAAATGTTCACAATTATTTTTTACACTTCTTTTGTATGATCTTACAAGTCATTGAATGAATGGATGGATGAATGAATGGATGGATGAATGAATGGATGGATGAATGAATGAGTGAGTGAACGAATGAAAAAACGAATGAATGAACGAGTGGGTGAATGATCTATACCCTTAACTTATTCCTAAGTTAAGTGGTCGATAAAAAAAACATAATAATAAATTCTTTTAAAATTATTTTTTAAAATATACGTAATTATATTAAATATATTTTTTATATATATAAAATGAATATACACAATCTATTTACATTAAATTTATTTGTTGTTATAATAATAAATATTATTGATTTAAATACAAAATAAATCGTTATAAAGTTATCCATAGAAATTTAAAATGAATATTTATCGCTATCTTCGTCGTCGTTTTCCTCATCGTCGTCGTCTTCTTCATCTTCTTCATCATCGTCATGTTGATCACTATATGTGACATCATTTCCTGTGTTATCGGCAATGTTGATGTCATTGTTGTTGTTCATGTTATTATTGTTGTTTTCGTTGTTAGTTGTATTGATGTTTTTCATTGGCTTGTTGCGTGTGTTAGCCACGGTGCTGCTGTAACTCATGTTGTTGTTGCTGTAACTCATGTTGTTGTAGCTGTTGTTATTATAGTCTAAATTATAACGTTTATTATTATTATTGTTGTTGTTATTGTTGTTATTATTATTATTTTTATTATTAACGTGTTTGCTAAAAACCCTCCGCCTTGTTAAGGGGTAGTCACTGTTGGGAAATAGTTTTTTGGATTTGTTGGTGCTGGTAGCTGACGATTCCACCAGAGTATGAGATTTACAATTGGCGAATTTGAGTAAATTATAACAATCTTTGCTGTGTCTATGTGTTCTCTTCTTTGTATTTGGGGATAACAATTTCTTCCTGGTTTTATAGCCCTTCAATAAAATGTTCTGACTACTGCGATGTCCGCTAGATGACCCGCGCGGGTGGACTTGGATAATTTGATTTTTCAGTTTTGGTTTTTTTTCTTGATCTAGAAATGAATGTTTTCTGTACTTGATGTTGTCGTTGATGTCATTGTTGTTGTCGTTGTTGTTGTTGTTGTTTTGGGATTCGCTAGGGTCTTGAGGTAGATTTTTAAGATGTAAATTTGTTGCTGTGTTGTTGTTTTTGTTGCTTGAATCGTTTTCTACATTTGGTAGAATGTTGTTGTTTATCTGGACACCAAAATGAGATGAAGTATAACTAGATTTTGACGACTGAATGAAGAATATCGCAGAGTTCGAGTACTCTTTCTGAAGGTTGAACTCAAATATTTTAACTTTTTTGCTCTTCTTATCAACACCGAGAAACCACTGCTTGTGGCATTGCTTCCTACCATTCCCTTGCCTACCGTGAAGGATGTCTGTCTTTGTATTGTGGTTGTCGTTGCCATTTGTGTTGTTGTTGGTCGTGCTGTTGTTTGTCCTGCTGTCTGTGTTGTTGTTTCTTGATTTGTTGGCGTTTGTGCACCTCTTCAGAGCTCTAGGGTACGTGTAGCTGTAGTACACGTCGTAATGGTTCCCGAACTTCTCGTGATAGAAGTGACAATCTGGGTTCGATGGCTGTGTGCAATAACATTAAGTACAATGACAATAAATACAGTAACATTAAAAACAAAAACATCAAGCACGATAAGGTTTCGCTCAAAAACATAATGTTGATGATGAATTCAATAAATTATGTTAAATAATAATGTTGTTATTGTTATATATCAGCTTCCTAGTTTCCATGATCATTAAAACAGTAAAATAATAATTTAGACAAATGAAAAAATAGTCGAATTTGCAAATGAAATATAAAAAAGTTAAAACAAATGAACAAATGTTGAAACAAATGAATAAATGAATGTTAACGGATTTATCGGCGTAGATGTCTTTGGATCGGTTGATGCAGAGGTAATACTGACTGAAGTTCGCGTAGAGGAGTTTGATGTCCGTCGATGGAGAACTGTTCGATTTCTCGTTCCGTGCAAAAAATGAATAAATCAAGATGGAAAACAGTGCTGGAAGGGAAAAAAATTTTCAACAGGCTGATGAAAGTCGTAAATTTTATTTTCTGTGTTAAAGCTATGCCCTGAACAGCTAAATACATGTACAGACAGTGCAAAAAATGCTTAAAAAATATAAAATGGTTGAGTAAAATCTATAAAAAATAATGAACCCTGAATGAGCAATTTTCAAGGGGAAAAAATTATCTTGTAATAAATTTGAAAGAAAAATATAATCTCCACTTGAAATGAAGTTTTAAGTCCGCCTAGCTGATTAAATTTAATGGTAAAAGATGCTTACTTAAGTGTTATTTACTATAATTATGTATCCATGCATTAGTGTGCTATTGTCTATCTGTCTGTCTGATTGTCTGTTTCTTTGTGCAAATGTTTGTTTGTCTGTTTGTGAATCATCTGTCTGATTTTCAGTTTATCTGTGTGTCAGTCTGTCTGTTTTTCTATCTGTCTGTCTGACTGATTGTGTGTCTGTCCGTTTGTCTGTCTGACTGTGCATCTGTTTGTTTGTCTGTATGAGTCTCTTCTAGATTATCATTATATATTTTACTTCATATTAAATTTTTTACTGGATATTTTTCTAATTTGCAAAGGTTTGTTCATTTAAATGGTTGTGTTTTATTGAGGATGAAACTAGATTACAATTTACTGAGAAGATGTGTGCGCGCTAAATATTAAAAAACTATGAAACTTTAACAAAACATTTTCGGGTCAATGTAACTTTTAAAAAATGTATTCCTATCAAACCTCCTCAAATCAAAGACTGTTTTGAACTTGCGAGTGTTAACTGACACATAAACGTCAATCAATTAATCAGATATACTTATCTATATAGCTCAATTTCTGAAACACAGAATACTCTAAAAACGAATCCACTACTAAAAACGCAGTCGTTCATTTTCCAATCATGACATTTCTCCGCCACTCTCTACAAATCATTACAACTAACCACTCTATAACCTACGTTCTTGTTAATATAGTTGTTATTGTTGTAGTTGTCGATGCGATAAAATAAGATTCATTTCTAAGAAGATAAAACTATTCTTGCCAGGCACCTGACACGATTTTTAAATAAGCTGTAAGCAGTTTTATCGTTGAGTTCATGAATTTACACGAATAAAACATGCTTCATGGATCTCTATTATTATGCGTCAAACTTTTTTAATTTGTTTTTATCTTATATATTGGGAACATTTTTAAACAATATATCTCTTTTTTTACTGTAATTTTTTTGACACAATTTATGAAGCGAATGGCTTGGCTGCTGTTGTAAGAATAAAATTTAAAAATGCGTAAAAAAAATATTCTTTTTTTTAGTTAATCGGAAATAAAAGTTTATTTTTAAAAACTTACTGCAACTTGTTTTTTGAGTTTCATAAGTTTAATTAAAATATATTTAATAAGTAACTCTCAATTCTCACTGCTATCTGGAATTTAGTATTGAAAGGATTGTTTCACTGCTTTCTATCTACCATCAGTTGCCTCATAAATTAATAAACGCATGAAAGAAACACAGTCAATCAATCTCACTCACAAACCCAAAAATACCCAAAAATTATTAATAGCAGCACTCTAACAATAGAATACATTTTAAGAATAACAACATTGGAATAATAATAATAATAATAATAATAATAAGATTTATTCGTAAATAACGCGAAAGTCTTAGAAACGAATTTCGTTTTTCAACACGTCAGCAATGCATCAAAAAAAAAATATAAAAATACTTTTTAAAAAAATTGAAAACAAAAAAAAAGAGAGACTGAAAAATCACTCACAAAATGGTGAACTACTGTTGTTATTAAGGGATACTCTGCCTTCTAAAGAAATTTCAAGAAATCGATAGAGCAGGTAACTATAAATCGTAAATATACGTTGACTGTAGTGTTGCTGTTTGAAGTTGAGACTTCTCTTTCGGTGAAGCGCACGTCGTCGCTTCTTTAGCGACTTTGCAGTTGTCGAGTTGAATGCATTGTAATGGTTGTCGTTGTTGGTGGCGACGGTCGTTGTGGTGTGAAATGTTGACGAGTAAGGGTTGTGGTCCGTTTCGTTGTACCGCCATCTGCGCGTCATTTCGGTGGAATTTTTGAAATGTGTAACGTAAGAAGATGAGTTAATGCTGTTTAAATAACCATACCCATAATTACTGTTGTTCAGATTATTATTATTATTATTATTATTGTTGTTGTTGTTGTTGTTGTTGTTGTTGTTGTTGCTGTTGTTGTTATTGTTGCTGTTGTTGTATGTACGATTGTTGTAATCGTCGTGTTGACGCGTTCGGCTGGCACGATGACGCCAATGACGATGATGTCGAAGATGACGAAGTTTCATGTCGCCATCATTGCCATCGTCCTCGCCGTCATCGTAATAATCATAGTAATCGTCGTCGTAATAGTTGCTATCGTCGTCGTAATGAGAGTAGTGGTGGCCGCCGTAGTGTGGCGTGGTCATTTCGGCCGACATGCCAATGCTGTTTGAAAGTGGCGGTAAGAATGTAGTCGATGACGTCAGAGCAGTTGCTGATGCTGTGAAGATCGGTGACAACAATGGGACGGATGAGTTTATTAAAAATGCACTCATATCTGGTCGGGTGAAAAAAATTATGAAATAAATGAATTATTCATAAATACTGAGTGGTGGGTTAGTGTAATGGTTCTGTTGTTACGTTAACTGGGTTTGACTGCAAAGTGATCCTGACCGATCATATGCGGGGTTTGTGTGATGAAAGAAATATCATTATATAGCAGATGTACATAAAAAATGAAAAACAAAAAGCTTCAAAAACAAAACTATTTTCCTATTTGTCAATCACACTTTTTTCCTTTCCAGTTTCAGCATCAATCAGTTCATTTGTAAACAAGCACGTTGCATTTTAATGACTGTAGCACAATCATGCCATTATATAGATGTGTGTGTATGTGTGTGTGTGTTTGTGTGTGTGTGTGTGTGTTTGTGTGTGTGTGTGTGTGTGTGTGTGTGTGTGTACGTGTATGTGTACCTACGTATGCGTGCGTGTCTGCAAAATTTTTAAACAAATAGATCAGAAAGAAAAGCAATTGTAGAGAAAAGAAACTTGAGCAAGCGATGGAGGAGCAGAAATAGCACAAACAACCAACTCCAACAACAACCGTTACGTACTTGCATGCCTCTCTATAATAATAATTTATGGATGTTTCATCCTGACGTTCCATTGTTTTTAACCCATAAACATATTTGAAATTACACACACTCACGCATAATATTATACAAAATTATACAATTTTTATATAACTACATGTTAATGTTAACATACTTATATGTTTTGAAAAAAATGATAAAGAAAGAGAGAGAGAGAGAGAGAGAGAGAGAGAGAGAGAGAGAAAGAGAGAGGAGAGAAAAAAATGCAGGACGCAACTTCATCTAGTCAATCAATCAATCAGAGATAAACATCTTCCCGAAACTTGTTTGAATGCTTGTGCGATTTGTGTGCATGTGTGTGTCGTGTGTAAGTGTCTGTGTATAGGTGTGTGTGTGTGTGTGTGTCTGTGTGTGTGAGTATGTGTGTGTTTATGCTGATGCTGACAGACGAGTAAATTGAAGCATCTAAACCTCGGTCGGTCTCAATGAGTTTTATTTAAAAAAAGATTGAGCAATTAAAAGCATGTGCACGCAAGGTTAGTTTGTGTGTTTATGTATGTGTATGTAAATGTGTGTATATGCGTACGTGTATATATACAAATGTTAGTGTACAAGTTTGTATGCATGTGTGTCTGATTATTCAGTGCATGTGTGAGTGTGAGTGTATGTATGTGTGTGTGCGTATGTGTGTGTTTATGTGTTTATAAATATCTTTTACTAAAATATTCATAGAATTCTTTAAGATAGGATACAGTCAGTTTATGTTCACGTGTGTTTACATTTACAGCCTGTTTATGTTTCCATTGTGTTGGTGTTTTTTGAGTGTTTATGTATCCATTGAATGGGATTGCGTGTGTATGTGTACGTGCTGGGTGTGTGTATTAATATATGTGTGTGTGTGTGTGTTTACTAAACATTAACGTGTTCGAATACAAAAGAGATCCCCACCAATCACATAATGCATATACACTGTGTGTTAGTTATTTTTTTTAGAGAATACGAAAAAAAATTTGGAACAAATAAATAATATTTATTAAAAAAAATAATGAAAATAAATAAAACTTAGACCACAAAATAGTGTGTGGAGTGATTGAATGATTAATAAAGATAATGGGCTGCAGTGTAGAAAATGATGTAAAGGCTAATAAAAGTGCACCAGTGTGTATAAATCTATCACAGTAGCACTAATACACCGCCTGATTAACAACCTGATATAACTTTACAGTTCGCAAACATTATCATCTGTTAACTGTATTAAAAATTATATAAACAAAACTTTGGAAAAAAAATATGTAATTTATGATATGCAATTTAGAATAAAGTTTATATAATCAAGTCAAACATAGAGTAAGTAACAAGGTATGTTGTAATATGGAAAAGTTCCCTTGAGTCTTAAAGTTACATTTGTTACCATTGATACCCATATAAAAATATTAAAAATTTTAAATTTACCAAAAAATTAACCCATGGAGATTTTCGTCGTCAACATTTAGTAGGTCGGGGTGTTATTAAATTCCCCTGTTATAATGTCATATAAATTATTATCATATGCTACATATAATAATATGATTTGGGAAAATGCTGGTGAATTTAGATGGCTGGTTTGAAAAGTTTGTTATAATCTAAAATGAATCAAAAATTTGAAAATGGATATCTATATTCAAATAAATAAACAAATATATAAAAATATAATTTAAAGAAGGAATGAATGACTGAATGATCAATCGAAAGAGCAAAAAGGAAGACAGATAAAAAAAAAGATGAATTAGTGAATGAACAAAGACTAGAAAATGTGAGTGAAAGACGAATAGGAGAATGAGTAACAAGGATTTAAATGAACATTTTAATGGTCGAATAAATCAATAATCAAATATATAAATTACCAGACAATCAACCAATCAGAAATCAACTGATTGATTGGTTGGTTGGTTGGTTGGTTAGTTGGTTGGCTGGTTGGTTGGTTGGTTGGTTGGTTGGCTAGATGGTTGGTTGGTTGATTGATTGATTGACGGATTGATTGAATGGTTGAAGACAATTATCAAGCTCATACATAAGCAGCAAGGAAAAAGTTCAGGCATAAATATAGTCGTATTAAATGAAATATGCAAATCACAAATGAATGAATGAAAGAGAGTAACAAATAGACTGCGGATAAATAAATGAGTAAATGAATGAATGAATGAAGGAACGAACGAACGAACGAACGAACGAACAAATGAATGAATGAATGAATAATGAATGAAAGTACAAGAAAAGTTTTGCACCGAAACATTCAAAGAAACTAACCAAGCCAACTCACAACGACAACGACGATGATGAGGAAGCATCCGATATATTTGTACACACACGTGCACAACACACGTACATTTATTTATTTATTTATTTATTTATTTATTTATTTATTTATTTATTTATTTATTTATTTATTTATTTATTTATTTATTTATTTATTTATTTATTTATTTATTTATTTATTTATTTATTTATTTATTTATTTATTTATTTATTTATTTATTTATTTATTTATTTATTTATTTATTTATTTATTTATTTATTTATTTATTTATTTATTTATTTATTTATTTATTTATTTATTTATTTATTTATTTATTTATTTATTTATTTATTTATTTATTTATTTATTTATTTATTTATTTATTTATTTATTTATTTATTTATTGGAAGAAGCACAAAAAAGTAAACATAATACTTGTGATAGTGCCTTAACTAAAGTTGTCCTTTCAACCAAGTTCAACAAAAAATTCAACAAAGTTAATTTAAAATGAAGAAATTAAAAATGATGGTAATTCGTGCACGCGAACATACGTCACAAAAATTTATACATTTGCAGTTCAAAAGTAAATAATGTTCGCCTCCCATAATATTGACAATTAAATAAATAAGGATTGGATCGACACGACAAATTCACAGTAGAGGTTCATTACAGAAACAAATTCAAATATCAATTTTGGCATATTTTAAAAAGTTCATCGTTAAAGGATCATTACATAGGCAAATGCGAGAATCATGATGTTATTAACTCATTATGAAAAATTTATCGTAGAAAGTCTATTACAAAACAAATTCTATTTTTATAAAATGTTTACCGTAAAAGAACTATCACACACATTCATTTTCATTTTGAAAGTTTACCGTAAAAAGTTTACCGTTCGAAGCATATTCATGCTCCCTCAAGTACGTTAGATCCATAATTCACTCATGCACGCACACTCATGTCCACACATTCACATCCATCCATACACATTCATGCCCACTCATATACATTCATATAGATTCATACACATTCATGCCCATTAATACACTTTCATGCCCATTAATACACATTCATACCCTTTCATACACATTCATAACATATTCGTGCTCCATATCAAAGTGGCCGTCTTTCTTGTTATTGATACTATATGCACGCACATAACACGCACATAACACGCAAACGGAAGCATCCTTAACTCACAAACACATACTTACGCAACTTACACGCACACGTACGTACACAAAAATATACCAACAAACCTTTCACTCACATATAATGGATTTTGAGATCAATACAAAACCATCCAGACACGTACATACACACACACACACACACACACACACACACATACATACATACATACGCACACATATACACACATACATACATACATACATACATACATACATACATACATACATACATACATACATACATACATACATACATACATACATACACACATACAAAAAAAACAAATTGCACACTACAAGCGCATACTTATAAACATTTTTAATAATCATATATGCTCGTTAAACAGCAGCACGATTATAAGTAAGTATTAATTCTGAGTGGTGATGGTTTTCAAATGAGTTTCTAGAAATTGCAGGCCGTTGTTAAATTTTATTCTTCTGTCTCATTCAGTGTAGTTTTGAGTTTATTAGTTGAGTTAATATTCAGAGCCATGATTCGAGAATTTCTGTACACACATGCCTGATCTGGTTAACGACAAGGCATACCACGCAAGCATTTTCAAAGAAACATTTTATAGCACGCATACAGATACACACAAACATTAAAATAAATATCTCTTATACATACTCACACACACACCACACACACGCCACACACACACCACACACACACACACCACACACATTGTCACAAAATACATAACCGAACAGTGATAACAACTATTAGCTACTATTATTATCAAAATTTCTTCAATTATACATAGAAAAAAATATTTGTAAGGAGGTTGTTGAACCTTGTTTAAATGAATTTCAATTGATACCTGGAAAACAAACAAACGAACAAACAAACGAGCAAACGAACGAACGAACCAACTTTTTCCCCACTACCATACGCGAACTTGTTGGCATCAATATGATGTCTCCGCGTTCTACAACATTGCTACAAATAAATTTTAAACCTTAAGTCGTAATATATATAATTAATAATAATAACCAATTCACAGATACAAACACAAGCATACAAACACACACAAAAGCAAACATACAAACACACATACAAAAGTAAACCTACAAACATACAAACACACAAATACAAACGTACACACATGACGCCATCACAAACACAACTTACGTAGTTGTTCAATTAAAGGAGAACAATTTATCA